TGGCTGCTTCGTCATCTATGGCCACAGCGTCGGCTGCTTCGTCGTCAGTGGCTGGGAGGTCATCGCCCCATCTCGTGTGATGGCTGCGGTGACTTCTCGTGGCTTGCGTCGTCCGGTGCTATCGTCGCCCAGAGCTTGCTGCTCGTGGTGCTTGATGACAACCCGTCGGCGTGGTGGCGACGATTTCACTGGTGCCAGTTCGAGAGCTCCCAATGCTTAGGTTCCATCAGTCAAGATTCGTAGGATTACTCTTCCCCATCCCCATACGTCGATCCAAGAAGACAGCAGTTCGTTTGCCACCATTCGAGTTTTTCAGTGGGTTTGGAGATCTGGATTTGGGCTCCTTCTTCCTATATGTTTCCTATCAGCTTGTTCCATGCAGGGTTTGTTGTTTGGGTTGAGCTCACGCTCCTCAGATTTAACGACGAACTCCGTGGACACCTCTTGCTGAGTCCGGTGTTGCTTACTCCAAAATCTATGGCTCAGCAGCAGACCTCCGTTTTGTGCAGTCTTTGTGGAGTCAACCGGATGGGGATTACCGGTTTGTCAAGCGGGCTGCACGCCGAAGGAGGCCCAAGGTTGCATTCGTCGCGGCATTGCCGCAGCTCCCTATCGATGTGCACCTTATCTGCTGTGTGGTTTCATTATGAAGTTTGTAGCCTTAGTGCAGGTTTCCATTCTTTAGAAACGGATGGTTTTACGCTCTCTCTTTATCTATTTGGCAATGTACTGGGATTTATTCCCGTGAACTCTGTCGGTTTATATTAATGGATGTTTAGTTTTCAAAAAAAAAAAAGACGGTAGATCTAATGTGTGAATGTTCGGGCGCGGCCAGGAACACGAATATGTTTCGGCCGACCCCACGTGCGTCTGGCCCATCATGATAAGTTGTCATAGAAAGTTTATATAAAAAAACTTTATAAGCTAAACCTTATAATATAGATATAAAACATGTAAATCTGAATTTGAATTGAAATCCGAACAGGAATTAGAAAGAGTAAATTTTATAAAACTATATACTTTAACAAAACTATCGCAAAACTAGAGATTTAAAGGCATTATCCCAAAATTACAAATTAATACCAAGTATCATAAAACTACATATTTAATATTGATGTTATCACAAAATTGCATATTTTAGAGTTTAAACTCTTAGAACTAATGTTATATTGAAGATGTAAATGTTGTACTTTTGCGATTAAATTGGTGCTAGACTCATAGTTTTGTGATAATTTTGTTATTACTAGATCTATAATTTTATAGTACTTTATCTTAAACATGTAGTTTCATGGCGAATTTGTTGTTAAATCTATGGTTTTGTGATACACCGTTTTAAATATGTAGTTTTGTGATATTTTGAATAAAGAATTTGTGATTTTGTGAAATTTACTCTTAGAAATACAAACTCTTGATGTATACACACTTAGCAGGAAAAAAAAACTGTGCCATGAAAAAAAAAAGGGAAAAGCGCATGCGTTTGCTGCACGGTAATGATCACGTCTTACTTGTTCGCCGACACGGCAGTACAAACCAAAGAAATTGCCAGGTAACTTGCAATATTTTTTTAGGGAAAAACTTTTGATTTTAGGCTGTTGAATTGGTTGTGGACTCGAACCCGCACCCTCCTACTCACTGGAGTAATAGTGCAAGTTTTGATTTCAAAATAAATTTACATATTTTAGTTACACTTTAATTATACTATAGTTTAGTACAAGTTTTTTTCCTCCAAAAACTATCGAATGTATTATAGATAGACCCCAAACTAAAGCCCATCGAAAAACCAAGTACAACACATACTCAATTGTTAAAACCGGTGTAAATATATAGTTCCAAAACTCTTTTAGGTGATGAAACATGGTAGGACCCACATGTCAAATTCACACAAAAAAAACCCTACCCCAATCTTCTAATTAGGAGTCGAAGGGGACAGCTAGATTCAATGGCCGGGTTGACCTCTCACAACTTGGCATGCGGTGGACACCACGACACGACGTGGGGGCACAGATAGGCACGTTGACGTTGTGGCCAATGGTGGTACGCGACGTGGGGCGTCGCAACTAATGGCAGTGCCAAAACACAACTGGATGGTGGGGGCTGGTAGAATGTAGGGTACGGTGGAGACGGACGGAGCTACGGTGTAGTCAGCCTCCCCCTCGGTGTTGGTAGGGTCGTAGAGGGCACCACAGATTCTTGCCATATCGACGAGGCGAGCATTGCGCCTACGCCGCTAGGGAACGACCAGGACAACCCCGTGGATGAGCACGGTGCACAACGATGAGGGAGGCGCGCGGGGTCAGCGAAGGTGAGGGAGAACCGAAATCGGCAGGGATGGTGGCCCTCTCCCTGTTGGTCGTGGATACCACCTTTGGGACTGCCACCAGTATCACCTTCATGGTGCGCCGGCCTACAGGAGAAGAGCTAAAGAGAGAGAAGGAGAGGGAGATAGGGAAGAGAGGGGTAGGGATTTTGTTGCGTCTGACACGTGGGTCCCACTGTATTTCATTTCTTTTTGTTGATTGTAAGTGCCACCTGGCCCACTTAGATGTCACATCACCCAAAACTATTCTCAATACTGCCTGGTTTTGAGAGTATATTTACACTGGTTCTAAGAATAGAGTGAAGCATTGTACTTGGTTTCTTGCTTAATGGACGCTGTTGAAACTGGATGTCGTTATTATGTGGTGGGCTACTGGCACCTGGTATGATTTGGCCTTCAGGCTCCTCATGGGCCTTCCTGGCAAAAACGAACAGGTCGAGTTGGAAAACACGGTCGGTGTACCTCGGAACCCTGCAGTTGCAAATCAACAGAGCCGTGTCCATGAAAGTGTAGAACTGTAGATGTCCAAAATCGCAGAAAAGAAAGACCGGGACACAGGACACTGCCGGCACAGTCTTAGCCTGCATGTCCAAGTCTCCAAGATCGATATTCGATAGCGCCATTCGGTGCCCGCATGGGCCGGTCGGCCGTCTGCGCCAAAGCGCACCTCGGCGCCGCGAGTCGTCGCTGCGGTGCGGAGCCACACTACCGTCTACAGGGGCTACCGCCTACCGAACGCACTGATTCCTCGTCGATGTGCGCAGCTAGCCGCGGTGGTGCTCGCGCGTGCGTTGCGTGCACGAGCGAGGAAAGAGCGCGCCAGCGCTGTAGACCAGGACCACCACTGGATACGGAGTACCGTACCACACCGTCCATCTGATCTCTCGATCTTACACCGGCGCGCGCGTGATCGGCGACCACGAGACGCAGTGGCGGACGCGCCGCACGCGCGCAAAAGTCCACTCCTTATCTCTGCCTCTCTCGCGTGGTCGCGTCGCGCGCCAGGGCGAGGCTAGCTGCCACAAAGTCCACTATCCCGTAGTGTGCTACAGTAATATACTCCATGTCATGGCGCGTGCGTGCGTCCGGTGCACTACTCGCAACCATGCATCTGTGTTTCCGGTGCACTAGCTGTTTTCTGGCCTCTGTTGAGTTCTCGTCATGGGCAAGCAAGGGAAAGGAGCATACATCGTCCTGCAGCGGCAACACGTAGGCGTGCACTATACCTTCATGCGAAGTTGCGAACGTTCCTACAAGTTGCAGCAGTTGTGAAGGATGGGAACCCATGCTCTCTTTATGAACGAAATTAAATTACTCCCTCCCTTTGTTTCAAAAATTATATAACAACTTAGTACTTGATTAAATTCGTACGATTAAAATCTGTTCAATCTAGTATTAGGTTGCTATATAAGAGTAAGTAACACCGTAGCTCCGGAGGTACGTGTTCTTCATCAGCATGGATCAAAATCATAGTTTCAGCAATCAGCACATGCAAAGTGGACAGCGATCAGAAAATCAAATCAAGAGAAAACGCATTCTCCCAACGCCGACAGTGGTCCCAGAAGGGCAGTGTAGTAAGAAAGAACAAGAAGCATTGCAGCATGTGTCACCATGACACCACCACCATCCGACAACAACTACACGATGATATAATAAACCAATACTAACAAACCCCGCATCCATCACATCACCAATCCCCCCACTTGCCTGGATAAGCCATAACCCCGTAGGCGTCGCTAGATCGGATTGGGATCCCACGCAGTTTGAACATGGACTGCAAAATTAGCAGTCTTAGGTCTTCAATACCATCGGATCGAAGATTTCAACGGCCATGATTTAGTACCAGTACTGTTTGTTATCACTTGCTACAGTACGCGCTACAGGATTCATCTGCTACAGTATCTGATGAACAGTACTTTTGTGTGATTTGAGCCCTTGATATTTGATCCAACAATGGTTGTATGACTGCGAAAGTTGCAGTCATAAACAACTGCAGGTGATCTCAATTCCGCTAGATCCATTTGATCGATGCTCGGTGCACCTGGCCCCCCTCCCAATCATCGATCCAGTCCCATACACACGGTCACGTACACACGAACGCAAAGGAACCCGTGCTACATGCCTACTAGTACACACTTGCATCATTCACAGGTTGAGCCATCCAACTGCGTGCTTGCCAAGAACAGATAGGCTGAAAAGTGCAAGGATAAAAAGGAGAGCTCAGCTCTAGGGGCACTAGGAAGCAGCAGGCCAATAGAAAAGAACGGCAGGCATCACACACACTAGTACAAAAGCTAGCTGCTTCTTGTTAGTTCTGGCCTTCTGATAGCCATTCCTGGAGTTGTTGAGCCTTAGAGTTGGACAGGTTATTGCAGCTGTTCTTGGTGTCTGGTGAGTGGTGAGTGCTTGCTCTGTTGATGTTCTCTGCTACGTGATCTTATCTTAATTCTTGAGTGGTTGCAAGGTGCATGAGCTTGAATCTCTTTGTCTGCTAATTTCGGCGAGTTACATCGCGTCCATCCGAAAATGCTTTTGGACATGAGTTGGTAGCCACTCTTTCACGTCGTGAAAGACTTAAGTTTGACACGAGACTTGAAAGTGCTTTATCTTGTTGCCGAATAAATGGTTGCAGGCTCCATTTCCCTTGCTCGAAAACGTCTTTGAGGTTGTGACATGAATTGATTTGATGATCACAAGTCCTATCTCTTCCCGGTTTCTCTTTCCAGCTTTCACTTTGACCTTAGAATATGTTACACGTTTGTTTTGACACTTTCTCCGGCCTAAGTTGAGTGCAAAACTGAACTCTTCAAGTAGCTGCATACTTGCATTCTTCCCATCGTTTCCCAACTTCATATGTAGTATATCATTTATGGTAGAGTTTTTGAGTGTTGAAGCCCTTAACATTGGCACTGTAGTCCTTCCTCAGCTCCACATACCACCATCTATTCATTTTAACACAAAGATTTTCCTCTTGTTCCTTTTTCTTAGAGAATTCATATTTCCTATAGCAGATCAAGTCCTATGGAAGAAGAATTCAAGGACAAAGGCCTCCCTCCCACGCTGCTACACCTCATCCCTGACGGGAGAGAATGGAAGGTGAAAGAAGCAGATGGAGAAGGATCAAGGAACACAAACTTAGATGCCGATGAGGATAAGGAGCTAGAGCTTAAGCTCGGCCTCCCTGGTGTCCAACAGGAAGAGAGAGCAGCTGATTCAAGAGAGAAGATACAGCAGCAACAACGAGAGAGTTCCTCAGAACCATCCATCGGTTGCTTCCCTACACATTCAAAGCCTACCACCAGCATCGGCACAACTGGGGCAAAGAGAGGATTTTTTGCGATTGTTGGGGCCACACTAGAAGGTAGGACAAGGGAAAACGAGCAGCTTACTCTAGTTCCTTAATTTGAGCAGCTGTTCTTTTTTTTCTATATCTTCTCTTCTGTTACCTCAGGTTATAATCAGAGCCACCGGGACACAGAAGAATGTGGGAAGGAGCTAACGTTAGGAGATGAAAATATGGCAGGTGAGAGGAAGAAAGGATGCTGTCCCTCACCACCATGCTCAGCTGCAGCGCACAGCAGCAACCCCCAGGGGAGGTAACAATACACTTACTGCCTTTTATCCTCTTTTCTACCATGGAAGCCATACTTGTTTTTTTCTTGTCATCATGCATGGTGACAGCATGGGTAACTTTGACAGATTACATATTTTTAATGTTAGTTCATGCTTTCCTATGAATTCAGCTTTCCTAGGGTCCCTTCTTTTCTTTTCTTTTTAATTCTAAAATGAGCTAAGATCTTTCAAATTGTTCCACTTGTTGGTCATGGCTTTCTGAATAAATTGTCGTGAGCATTTTGTGATATTTATTTTGGCTTTTGATACTTAGAATGATGGTTTAATCGTCAATTTTGCCACTCAAAGGAGAAACCTTAGTCAATTTAAATTGCCAAAAGGTTGTCTTTTAATCAACCACGTAGTTACTTTCTGTGGCTAGTACTCATTGTGGCTCAAACCATTGTTTATTGGTTAAGTAATGATATGCTTTCCATCAGTGGAACAGTGTGTTCTTTTAATTATGGGTTTATGATTTACGCCACCTACATACGCAGACTCCCAATTTTTCCAAAAATAAATGAATAAACCCATCATTTACCAGTGCTTTAATTTGATGTAGAGGTGCTATTCCTCCAGTAGTCGGTTGGCCTCCAATCCGGTCCTTCAGGAGAAACCTCACAAATGGCAGTTCATTTAAACAGTCCCCTGAACGACAAAATGACGAAGCTGATGACAAGGCAAAGCCAATCTGCAAGAAGAGACCTCTTGTCAAAATCAACATGGATGGGATCCCCATTGGAAGGAAAGTAGACCTTCAAATATACGACAGCTACCAGAAGCTGTCATCTGCTGTTGAAGAGTTGTTCCGTGGTTTTCTTGAAGGTAAAAAAAAAAAGAACACCAAGCCCACTGAACACAAATACTTTAAGTCATTTAAGGAGCCAAATACTTTTGTTTTAAATGGTCTGTATATTGTTCTAAAGCATTGTTTTGCAGCTCAAAAAGATCTATCTTGTGCTGAAAGTGGAGAGCAAGGGGCAGAAGACAAAATATTTTCAGGGTTGTTGGATGGAACTGGTGTATACACTTTAGTATATGAAGACAATGATGGAGACAGAATGTTAGCTGGGGACATACCATGGAAGTAAGCTTTTGTTGTTGCTTACTCCTACTGTATATTTATTAGCACTAGCCATATACAAGATACGGTGTCAGCCTGTCATACTGATTTGTTTCGGGCCTGTTTGGATTGATGCCCCAGCAAAATTTTGGTAGTGCCAAATCTTGGGTAAGTTTTGGCACTACCAAAACTTTGGTAGGGTAAAGTTAAAAAATGTTTATTTGGATTGAAGCCAAACTATGCCCATAAGAGACTAGTTCATGAGCAAAGCCAAATTTGTAGCGAAGGTAGTGTTTAATACAGATGTTTGGTTTGCTACCCTACCAAAGTTTTGGTAAGGTAGCAAATTCAAACTAGCCCGAAGGATGTGCCGTGAATACTGCTATCTATCTAACTAATGCTTTTGACTGCTGCAGGGTATTTGTTTCGACTGTTAAGAGGTTGAGGGTTATGAGGAGGTCAGAACTTCCCCATGACATGGTAAGCATAGGGCAACTTCAACAGGCGCCATTTTCCTCATAAATAGCAGTACTGTATCTCTGGTTAAACTTGGATCAAATGGATGCACTTTTGTGTTATATAACACCATGCTATAGTATTGCACTTATATTAGTTATATAAAATAATTCTATAGACTTGGGTCAAATGGATTCACTTCCTCAAGTTAAGGTCTGCCCTCAATTTGTTTTCCTCTTATGTCCTTCCACAGATTGGAGCTGACCCTGTGAAGTAGCAAATCGTTGATATTAGGGTCCAGACATATCAATTGTGCAAACCATAGTCCATCACCTTTCTGGGGGATGACCTGTTTTTGGCTTGTACAGATGATTATGATAATGGGAAAATAGCATCTTGCAGGTGCAGTGGACAAACTGCATATTTTGTAAATGACCTACTCTTTTTCAGATATAACAGATTGGTGTAATTCTATAAGTTATAGATTTCTTGACAAAGGTGCCAAAAGTGTGTACAGTACGATGCCATGATTGTACTGAACTGCAGGGCAATCCTCAGATCATAATAGTGATTTCTGTTGCAAATTAAGAGAGCAAGAAAACAGCTACAGAATGCTGGTGGCTCATCAATAATACAGCAGCAGCAGCATATGGAATATCCTATGGTCCTGCTGTTAGAGCGTGTGAACTTGCCCACTTTTTTGGTTATCACTCTAGCTATCCAAACACCTTTACTTCAAGTTAGCTGCGTCCCCAATTTCCTCCTGTCAGTTGTCATAGAAGTTTGTCAGCTGTGACTAACTCACAGGTTAATCCCTCTTTCACAACTGTGGAAACTATTGATTGAATTCGATAACTTCATTTCTTTTCGTTACACACCATTCCGTGGCAATTAATTTGCTTCCTCCATAGGAAAAGTTGCCAAACATGGAAGCTATCTGAAGCCACTCTCGGGAGTGCATATCACAAGGGTTGCTCTCAGGAATAACACATGGCATTGATCCATTCCATGATAGAGATAGTGCATGGGCTTCAAGCTGACAATCACACTCTACTGCAGCTCATAGTGGAATTACTGCTTGTTTTGATAATTTGTTTCTATTTACTACTTTCTACTGAACCAGATGTAAATTGTACCACCATTATACGAGACTGGAAGGAGACTAGTGAACTTAAATTACCAGTTGAAGTCTGCAAGAGGTAAAAGCTTGAGGAATACCTGAAATTTCAGGTAAAACCCCACATGGCCACAAAAGTTTGCAGCAGATCCCTTGCTCAATTTCACCATTGAAAGACTGGTATGTGGTATGCATTAATTCCAGATGGTTAATCATCATAGGCTCCACCTGTAGAAAATCAAGATCTTTAGGTTAAAGGATAAACTACAGGACCCAAAAAAGGGGTGTAATATTTTTATGGTGCTGACAGAAAGATTCACGGTAATACTTGCAGCCTTGGAATTGGAAACACTGGAAAGGTCTTTGTCATTGGGTCACCACTAAATTCCGAATGGCAGGAAAAGAACAAAGGACAGGGTGGATTACGAAAGAATCTGTAGCCTTTTTCTCCTCCCTAAACATCTGCATCCTCCGTGTTGTGTGGCTGTGTGCTCACATGTTCGTGAGCTAAAAAAGGCTATATTCCCTTTGCAAGAACAATGCATTGGAGTAGATGAAAGCAATGGTAGTTCCTAGAAAAATTAAACATGCCATGAATCGCGTACTTAGTTCCACATATGTCCTGTGCAAATATTTTATCAGTTAGCCGCTGCTTACATTAAGTTCTGTCGATCAGAGAGGCCACTAAATCAGGTAGATAATACTGGGGGGATTCTGATGTTACGAGGCCAACTAGGAAACACACCATGGAGACTAACAATATCACAGCTAGCAGATATACATATGATCTGTAAATATGCGATAAAAATGTAAACACTTGCATACGAATTAGGACATCATCTCTAAGGTATATGATTCAACGAACAAAACCACGGAATTTTGGAGAGCATGTACATTCCTAACAAACAATACTTGCATTATGCATATGCATAGATACTTTCACTAAGGGCCTGTTCACTTTGATGCCAAAAAAACCTTACCAAAATTTTGGCAGAATTTCTTATATAGTTACTAAAATTTGGCAGGAAACTAAATGTAGCCACTTTTTTTGGTAACTTTACCAAAATTTGGTAAGGTTGAAAATGGCATCAAAGTGAACAGGCCCTAATGATAACCATGCATACAGAGCATAAATATTTCGTATACAAAAAGACTAACAGCATAGCTGCATCATTAGCAAAACTACATGGTCCCAAGTCACCCAAGCCAATTGCACAACGTCTAGGGTTCTGATTACTAGCAGTATTGCTATGCACAATTGTTCATTTGTTTGTCACGAGATATTACTCATGACTCATGACAACATAGTTAATTAGTAAAATATATTAGAGAAGAATTTAATAATTCTGTCCAGATATTATATAACTAAGAGATATCAGATGTACTGATAATTTTGTTCTGGAAAAAGGCAGTAGCACTGTCGCCTTGCTCTTGTTTTTTTAGTAACTCTTATCAAGCATTTCAGCAGTGTAAGGATACTTTTTCTGTTTATGATCCATCAGATTCTACAGGTAAATAAGAATTGACAGCTCAACTATGTTCTTTCTTTGGACATTGAAGTTTGAAAATTGTCCACTACTACAATTTTCTACTCCACGAGAATGGACAACACGAGACAGCGTATGACAACACCTGTAAAATGTTCTAGATGAACATTTGGGGCAAGATATCACTAACCAGAAGACGACAGTTGATAATGAGATAATCAATCATGGGATTCAATCTTCTGTGCACTCGTGGTTCTTTAATTTGGATTTCGGACCTGCAAATAGAAGGAATCGAATACGGCTAGACGGCTAGTCACTCTTAACTCTTAACTTAATCAAATCAACAGTAGGATGAGTACATTGCTTAAAAAAAGAGAAGAGCTTACTTAATATTGCCCTTTGCAATCTCTTCAGAGATAAGCTCATGTATTCTGATAAGAACACGAAAAACAGCAAATCGCCAGAGACACTGAAAATTCACAGCCATGAGACATCAATCCATCTGACTTCCTCAGATTATCCATGAATGAGAAACTGCCTGTTCCCGCAAGACAGCAACTGAGCAAACTCGGGGTCGTAGATGCAGGAGAAGTACCATCAAACCTCAGCGCCGGTGCTACACCTCGTCTCCCCGTCCAACTCCATCCCTGCCTCCCGACCCTCACCACGCCCTCCTCCACTACTCCGCTAGCCTCCTGGCAGCGTGCAGAGTTTCCAGATCGTCCACAAGGTATCCGGCGCGCGCGAGTGCGCTCGCCGGAAAACTGGAGATAACCAATAGGAAGAAATACGCGGAGGGGGCAGTGGCTGCGTACCGTCGAGGAGGTGCCCACCGGAGCCGGAGCAGATCGCCGGGAAGATGCCGGCGGCGAACGGCGCGTGCGTGTCAGCGTGGCTCCACTTTTTAGCCCACCCACCCCGTAAAAGTGAGAAAATTGCATATCTACCATCCCATAAGAATCATCCCATAAGAATGGCTTCACTAGACTACCATTATAAAAACGGGTTTCGCTGAAATACCATCCTCAACCAGGTGTCTTCGCCAAAATGCCATCCCAGACGGAAATGCCCCTGGCTCTTCTTCTTCCTCCGTCCCGCGCGTGAAGAGCTCGCCGGCGGCCATGGCCATCTCCACCGCCGCGCCGATGCCGCCTTGCCGACGGCGATCGGGGCGCTGCCCTCCCTGCCATCCCCGCCAACGCCTGTGCAGCTGAGGTCGTCGCGGAAGGACTCCGGCGACGACGCGCGGATCCCGCCGGCGCGCGTGCGCGTGGGGCCGGTGGAGCAGCTCCTGGCCGCCGCCGCCTCCTCGTTGCCACCGCGTAGCCAGCCGCCGTCAACCGAAGAGTCGCCACTGCGCCGCGGGCTCCGCTGCCCGTGCGGCGGCGATGGCAGGGAGGGAGCTAGCCATGGCCGCAGGCGAGCTCTTCACGCGCAGGATGGAGGAAGAAGAGGAAGTGGCATTTCTGTTCGGGATGGCATTTTGGCGAAGACACTCTGGTTGGTTGAGGATGGTATTCTAGCGAAGCCCGTTTTTATAATGGTATTATATTGAAGCCATTCTAGATATGCAATTTTCTCCGTAAAAGTATAGCAATTTGGGCCCATAGATGTAGGCCCACAAGGCCTCTCAGGCCCAAAAGAAGCTCAGCGTGCCGGGGCCCATCATGCCATGCTGCCAACCTATTTCAAGGCCCAGTTTGTCTCCAACGGCAACGAGTCCGAAACGAATCAAACGATCTCCCGAGCGATTTTGCTCTATTGGGTGATTTCTTCTCTGATATTTGACGTTTTCTTCCCGAGATTGAAAGGCTCCCGGATTCTCCGATCGATCGCGACGCAAATCCTGGACGCAGCCATGGTCGGCGGCGGGGTACGTGACGGCGACGAGGAGGCGGCGCTATGGCCGCGGCCGATCATGCTGGAGGAGGACTACTACTCCAGACGGCGCCGCGCCCGCGAGCACGACCGGCGCCGCGCCGCCGCCCTCAGGGAGGAGGAGTCCAACGAGCGGCTCGCGCGGGAGTGCCTGGATCACTACAACGCCCTGCACCCGGGCGACGAGCACGACCTCGCGCCGGGCGACGTGACGCTGTGCAGCGCGCCATGCAACTCCACCACCTGGACGCACGGCAACTTCGTGGCTCGCCGCCGCTCCGGCTGCCTCGCGTCGTTGTTCCTGCCCTCCCGGCCGCGGACGCTCTTCTTCTTCGAGCACATGTCCAGCAAGGACTTCCTCGGCGTCGTCACGTGCGTCCCGATGGCTGACGAGCCGGACGGCGGCGGCCTCCTGGCGAGAGTCCCGCTCTGCCGCCGGTGGGCGACCCGGCGCCGCCGGAGCGGCAGGTGGGACTGCGTCTGCAGGACCTGCAACCGCGGCCTCCACGTGAAGCATCCATGGCTGAAGAAGAAGGTGGTCGGGGAGTTCCCGTGCGGGCATCTGGAGGCGGCGAGCGTCTGCAAGATGTGCTTCTCCTACTCCGACGTCGTCCATCCAAGCCCGGGGAAGTTTGCGCGCGGGTACCGGGAGCACGAGGACGATTTCTGGCGTCCCTGCAACGGTTGTAAAATGTAAACGCTTGTCCATGAACTAACCCTACCAATGTTTGAAAAACACGAATATTAGAAAAGAACATAATACAAAATAAATAGAAGGGGTGAAACTTTAAATCCAGACCGGTTAACCCACCAGATGCTAACCGGAAAACCCCTAGCCATTTCTCCCTACCAATGTTTCATGTCGCTTACTCAAATCTATCTATCTATCTATCTATCTATTATCTATCTATCTATCTATCTATCTATCTATCTATCTATCTATCTATCTATTATCTATCTATCTTCTATCTATTATCTATCTATCTATCTATCTATTATATACTAAAAGTCCATTAAACTCCCTACAAACGCTCTCAAGCTGCCACGTGTCTCCCTCAAAACACTCTCAAGTTGCCACGTGGCGTAACGAGAGGAATTCAGCACCTCGTAGGGCCCGCACATTATTTCCATAAATATATGTACGTGTACACAGGGCAAGATTCCAAATCTCAAAAAGCAAAATTTAGATCACTAGGAAAGATTATTAATTGCAAGAAGGATTAGTTCCATATACATGAGACAATATTCGTAAGGCTTGCATACATATATATACACCCCGCCAGCATGCGACATTAGTCGATTCCGGAAGAAGTCGATTCCGACGACGGAGCAGAAGAAGTCGATTCCGGCGGACGGAGCAGAAGAAGTCTGCGGCACCTTGCGAATCATCTATGGCATAAGAAGGTATATCACGCACCCACAAAAGAACACAATCATGACATCATCTAATCATGATCTTGCAGCTAGGAAATAACATATGCATCTATACAGTTTTGTCATCATATTTTCAGCAGAAGAAACTAACATTGCACCTACAAAAGAACACAATTACGATATCCTGTATTAGTTAGAGGTACATTATGTTGCATCTATGTATACAATTTTGTCATTTTTTTTTCCAGCACAACAATTACGATATCCTGTATTAGTTAGAGGTACATTATGTTGCATCTATGTATACAATTTTGTCATTTTTTTTTCCAGCACAAAAAAGTAACCTTGCACCTATCAAAGAACACAATTATGAGAGTTTGTATTAATTAGTTCTATAAAATAACATAAACATGTATACGACTCTCTGTCAAATTTGTTTAGTAACTATATGCAGTACTACTCATTTGCAGATAACATGGCACCTAGCAATTTGATTACTGAATTAACACCAAAGAACGATAGGTGGAGAATCAAAGTAAAAGTTATTAGGCTATGGGATGCGGTTAATCCTACAATGGTTGATGAGTTCTATGGTATACAGATGATTGTACTAGATGCAGAGGTATGATTGTTGTAAACATGTGATTTAATATATTGTTCTATTATGTAAATACTATTTTTTTGGTGCAGGGCAACTCAATACATGTCTCTATCTCAAAGCAATTGGCGAACCACTTCAGGCCAAAAATTAAGATTAACTCAATATATACTTTTAAAAATTTCAAAGTTATGGAACATGATAAATACCGTGTCCTAAAAAACAATCTGAAAATCCTTTTTTATCATGATACCATAGTAAAAGAGGTAAAATCAAAAAGACAATGTTTCTTGGACTATTACTTCGAGTTTACAGACAGGAAAACATTAAGGAGTAGGTTGAATAAAGATCAACAGTTATCAGGTATGTGCATAATCTTACTTCTTTTAAACATTGTTATTTGTACTAAAGACCTGTTTGTATTTAGATGTGATTGGCTTACTTAGCGGGATGAAGCCGATCGAGCAAAGAATGCTAGGAAAAAACACAAGCAGGGAGAGGGTTTGCAACATGCGTGAAATTGAACTCCTTTTATTAGAGTAAGATTGTTGTCTGCAAATTTAAACCAGCACTAATACTTTCTATGTGGTATATTTTACATGACTTTATTGCATTTGTAGGGGAGAAAAAGTTAAAATTACTCTATGGGGAGATATTTTAGCAAATATGGTTGACGACGATTTGCTTGGGAAGCAAACTGTGTTCATCGCCACTGGACTTCTGGTTAAAGAATATGAAAGTGAGGATGTTATTTTTTTCTAATTTAACGTACTTATAGTTTTAGTAAACTAACGACATTGATCATTTAGAATTATTATCATTTGGAGTAACAAGTTCGACAGAAGTTTTTTTGGATATGGAAATTCCTGCAAGCATGGAAATATTGAGCAGGTGTGCAGTAGTAGCATTTAAATTCATATATATATTTGTTGATTTGTCTAAAATTATCTGATGGATTATATTGCATTTTATTTATAGGCATAATGCTGAAAAGGTTTTGCCCACAATGATTGAAGTGGACGCAAGCACTCAAGGAACCATTGAAGAGCAAATGTTCTACAATAGAAAGACATTGAAAGAAATAACAGAATTGCGATATAGTAATATACAACAGAAGGTACATATCCATTCCTATGTTACGTTTATTTTTCATTTGTGTATTTAATGTTGGGAAAAATCTACTTGATGGCTGATGTAATGAGCATTACCTAAATTAAGTGGTACGTTTAATCGTGAAGTCATCTTTAGTCACTCTTTCAAGCTGATTAGTTAACCAACATTAATTTGTTTTTTATTTAGGAATTTATATGCACAGTCAAAGCTAAAATTGAGGAGATTAAATCAAGAAATTGGTGGTATATGTCTTGCGATAAGTGCTTTTGTGGAACAAGAAAGGAATCAAATGTATACATTTGCAATTCATGCGGAAAGGAAGCAGTGAACCCAAAACCACGGTAAGCATGCTCTTCAAATTTTATTTGACATATTGTAGCAGGTATATTTACCATTAACGGCACATTGTACCAGGTATGTAATAAACCTTGAGATAAGTGACCACACTACTAGGACGACATGTACAATATTTAATGAGGAAGCAGAAAGAATATTTGGTCATAAGTCTGTGTCCACCATGCTGGAGGAACAGAATGGACAAATTGATATGATTCCTGATACAATACGTCAAATATGTGGAAGAATATTGATATTCAGATTGAAGTTGACTAAAAGGAATTTAGAAGAGTGTAAGGAAGACTACAAAGTGAACTACACTTTTACACCTAATGAAAAGCTTGAGATGAATTATGTAAATGACAAGGCAGAAGAGGTATGACTATTTGCATTATTCTTTTTTATACATGTTATAGATCTTATATTACAATATAAATATTAATTTGCAGTCAATGTTGAAGTACAACGATGATTATGGCTTCACTGATTTGCAAAAATCAGAAAATGAGGTAATATATAACAAATAAAAAAAATATTTTTGTAATGCATATGATATATATATAATAATTTATTGGATGTTCTGTAGTTTGGGCAGCACAATTTTCAGGTAAAAGAAGAGCCAAAAAATGAAAGTAGTGATGATTATGAAAAGAACAATCATCGCAAAACAAAGAAAGAGAGATCAAACATGAGATCTACAAAAAGATCAAAGAAGGTATGTTTAATTGCTTTCTTACATAACAATTCGTAAAGTTGTTTATAGTAGTACACTAATAATGATGTTTTATAGGAACCATACATTACCGATTCTGATGGGAAAACAAATGAAAAGGCAATCACAATCGATGATGATTCCGAAGAATCACTTGATGATTATTTTGATGAAGAATACAATAAAAAGGTTACCCAGGAGAGTACAAAGACAAATCCTTCTAAAAGAAGAGTTACAAGACGCTTTAAAATAGCTAACAAGGTACTTCATTTATTTACTTTCCAAATTCACTCAATTTAGTTTTCACATAAATTATTTACCATTTCAATATGGCACTATGATATAGGCTAAGAAAGATCTTATATTACAATATAAATATTAATTTGCAGTCAATGTTGAAGTGCAATGATGATTATGGCTTCACTGATTTGCAAAAATCAGAAGATGAGGTAATATATAACAAATAAAAAATATTTTTACAATATATATTATATATATAATTATTTATTGGATGTTCTGTAGTTTGGGCAGCACAATTTTCAGGTAAAAGAAGAGCCAAAAAATGAAAGTAGTGATGATTATGAAATGAACAATCATCGCAAAACAAAGAAAGAGAGATCAGACATGAGATCTACAAAAAGATCAAACAAGGTATGTATAATTGCTTTCTTATATAACAATTCGTAAAGTTATTTATAGTACTACACTAATAATGATGTTTTATAGGAACCATACATTACTGATTTTGATGGGAAAACAAATGAAAAGGCAATTACAATCGATGATGATTGTGAAGAATCACTTGATGATTATTTTCATGAAGAATACAATGAAAAGGTTACACAGGAGAGTACAAAGACGAATCCTTCTAAAAGAAGAGTTACAAGACGTTTTAAAACATCTAACAAGGTACTTCATTTATTTTACTTTCCAAATTCACTCAATTTAGTTTTCACATAAATTATTTACCATTTCAATATGGCACTATGATATAGGCTAAGAAAGGAAAATGTTCTGAAATGAAAACTCAGAGAAATAAGGTACAATTCTTACTTTTCTTTCATATACAAAACGATTTGTCAAACTATTACTGACATGTTATATACAATTGATGGGTATTAATAGGAACCATATACTACTGATTGTGAGAAGATAGCAAATGACAAACCAATTTCGCTTGATGATGATTTTGATGAAGAATATAATAAAAATATGGTCATGGCGGACACCAGTACTTCTAAAAGAAAAGTCAGACACTACATAGGACAAACTAACATTGTACTTCATTGAGTTTTACTTTCTATTTAATGTTACCTTTCATGTTTGTCCATTAATGTCAATATGCTATTGTGCAGGTAAGGGGAAAAGGTTGTGGAAAGAAGAGTACAAATATGGGAACTTGCACAAAAAGTGCAATTGAAAATACAATTCAAGATGATGAAGTATTTGATATATTTGTTAAATAAATCATGTATTTTAACATAAAAACTTTTTTAATTAACTAACTAAGAACACAAAATTTAGGTGCATGACGGAAAAATTGCTTCAGGAACTGCTAAAAGACCATCAAGGAAATTTATAATTTCAGATAGTGAGGTACTGCATGAGACAATTTATCAAGTTATTAATTAATATATTTTTTTTGTAACAACTAATTTTTTTTCCATAGGATGAGCACAGCAGTAATACAAAGGTGACTGGGGACAGCACCAGCTGTAATAGTAGTAAGGAAGATATAAACAAAGGTCGATGCAATTATAATATTGAGAACATTAAAGTTGACATGAATGAGCAGTCCAGTCGATGCAGATCAACAAGGATTAGAAGACCACCCACCCGATACTCATATTAGGTACAACATATTACTTCCGGGAAAATGTTGGTTGCTTTAGATTTGGTTTGATTAGTAAATTATAATAATATGGTCTTTCGTCTGCAGGTAATTTATCGTCAAGAAGGCCCAAAAGAACCAATTAAAAGGAGGGTTCAGCCAATACTTTTTATTGAAGAATAGTATTATATATGTTCCTATTAATTTTTATGTTCATTAGATATTGTCAGATGTAACGTACAACTTGCACTTGCCAAAGGAATCCTTGGATTACTTTGTTTATTTCTAAGATAGAGAGTTAATAACATTCAATATAAATGCATGCATGTACCTTCAGTACATGTATATGAGTCGATCCCTGCTTGCTTCCTCTACCGTTGATATCCTAAAAGCATATAAAACAAGATCAGTTGATTTAATAATTCTTAATTAATACAAATCCCCAAGCAAGAAACTTAATGATTAAAAAAACTTGATTATGTAAAATGGAAATCAATCAAGAAAGATGAGCTCTCGGGGCTACCTTCGCTCTCAGCCATGCTTGATGTTGCTGCACCTGCTATCCGCACTGCCCCAACACCTGCCATCCCCACTGCCCCATTTCCTACAAATACCACCTCCCATACCAGAGCCAACTAACCGATGGCTAACACTGCTCCTGATCTAGACATCCTGCGGTGGATCTACCAAGGCACTGACTTGGATGCCCTATGGTGGATCTAGACATCCTGCGGTGGATCTACCAAGGCACTGACTTGGATGCCCTATGGTGGATCTAGCCAACCAGTCTTTCAGCCGTCGCTACCACAAGGCATTCCCTCTCAAATCGGCTCCGATGGATGAGTAGTGGAGGAGAAGGTAGTGATGAGTGAGCTAGATAGATTGGAGAAGAATATATGTTCAGATTCTCCGCCGCCTGGCCTTCGCCCTCATGTGGCCATTCGGGACAGGAAGACAAACGCGACCGCAGCGCAGATATGTGGCCAGGAAGGGCTTGGGAGGAGATAACAATGTGCCTGCAATTTTACACTTTGGTCCTGCAGTGGATTTTAATTTATAAATGAGCCCTCAGTCTATTATCAGTACTTCAGTAATGAAACGTGTTTAGTATTTACCAAAATATAATGAATCTCCTTAGGATGATTGTAAACCTTTGGATGTTCTATATAAAACCGCATCAAAGGAACTTTCCAAATGTGTAATATTTAAATGGATTTCACAATAATTTAATTAACTTCTGTAAAAATCAGGCAAAAAATATCTAATTAGAAATTTGACAATATATATATGCAATCTATTTTCAAGTACAATAAAAAAATATACCATCTATTCAGCTTATCATCCGTACCAATAATTTCAATTTTAAAACTGCCAAAAAAAGCCACATTGTTTTTTATATAACCGTACTAAAAGTATTGCAAAATAGAGTTGACCGTACACAGTATTAAGGAATTACATCTTATACATAGAATGGAAACGATACCATTAAAAAGAATGGAAGACAATTGTTCAAGTATAGTAATAATATGGATGGAGTACTAATCCACGACACATAGGTTCATGGAAATTCCACGGACTCTATATTCCTATATAAATTAATCTTACAACAATGCTGCAATAAACAATCTACTCTTCCTTTCTTCCGGAGACACCAGTCAGGTCCCTATCAGTTCTCTCCATCATCTTCCATCACAGTGCAACTTATAGATTTATATTGACAAACACTCACATATGCAGTTGATACTTTATATTTTTTGACATTTGATTCGCAGTTGATACTTGCACAACAAAAATATAGGAAAACACGATGCAGAGTGGAAATCACCCTACGGATGATGGCAGTCCAACACAGGACAGGTAAGAATCACCCTAAATACCTTAATCGTTTGTGATTGACTCCTGCAAACTGCGACAATTATGAACTGATTTTCATATCCAATTTTAACAGTTCAAACTTGACTGCTCGAGCCAATTGAAAGGAATTATCGCGGTTAGCAAGATCGAAAAGGAAAAGAAAACTAGACCTGAGAAGGAGCGGATCTCCATCGACCAAAAATTACTCCAGTGCGGATGAAACAAATGCTCTTCAAAGGTAAACACTCAAGTTATCATCACAATTACTAAAAAGGAAATGCGTCATATTTAACAAGGATATGCCAAAATTTACCAGGAAAAGAAAACTTGATGAAAAAAGGACTGGGTTTCAAATGAGCAACAATGAGTCAAGCGCAGATACAGGAAGTCCCCTGCAAAGGTAAAATTATAGGCGAAGAATACAATTACCTATGAAGGTCCTGTATTTAATAACAATTTATTTCAACCGCAACAATTATGAACTGATTTTCAGATCCAAGTTTAACAGTTCAAGCGTATGTATTTAATAACAATTAATTTCCGAATAGGTACAATACATCAGAATCAGTCAAAAAAAGTAGTTATCTCCCTGTTTTGACATCCAATTTTCACAGCTCAAACTTCACTGTTGAAGTAAACTCAACGGAACTCGCACGCTTATCAAGACTGAACAGGAAAAGGAAACTTGACCTTAGAAGAAGCGGATCTACATTGAACAACAGTTCGACCTGTTCAAATCCAGCAAATCACATTGAAAGGTAAACATACAGAAAATCAACAAAATTGTTAGAAAGGAAATTTTTCCTTATTTAAGAATAAACACTGACTGTGATATGAATAAAATTAGGTCTAGAAAAGAAAAATATCAGATCCCATCAACCAACATGGAAACGAATAGGTATGTTAACCACATTATAAAAATGATATTGCCATTCAGTTTATTTTTAAATCACTTTTTTCTTTTATGAAAAAAATATTTGTCTTCCAGTCTCAAGATGAATGATCGAGTAAGTAAGGAAGAAAACATTACAAGGAATAAGGTTGCTGATACAGGAAATCCCCTGCAAAGGTAAAATTATAAGCAAAGAATACAATTACCTATGAAGGTCCTGTATTTAATAACAATTTATTTCAACCGCAACAATTATGAACTGATTTTCAGATCCAAGTTTAACAGTTCAAGCGTATATATTTAATAACAATTAATTTCCGAATAGGTACAATACATTAGAATCAGTCAAAAAAAAGTTGTTATCTCCCTGTTTTGACATCCAATTTTCACAGCTCAAACTTCACTGCTGAAGTAAACTCAACGGAACTCGCACGCTTATCAAGACTGAACAGGAAAAGGAAACTTGACCTTAGAAGAAGCGGATCTACATTGAATAACAGTTCGACCTGTTCAAATCCAGCAAATCACATTGAAAGGTAAACATACAGAAAATCAACACCATTGTTACAAAGGAAATTTTTCCTTATTCAACAATAAACACTGACTGTGATATGAATAAAATCAGGTCTAGAAAAGAAAAATATCAGATCCCATCAACCAACATGGAAACGAATAGGTATGTTAACCACATTATAAAAATGATATCGTCATTCAGTTTATTTTTAAATCACTTTTTTCTTTTATGAAAAAAATATTTGTCTTCCAGTCTCAAGATGAATGATCGAGTAAGTAAGGAAGGAAACATTACAAGGAATAAGGTTGCTGTACCACCAAGGAAGAAGAAAAAATCAAGCGTGAAAGAATGGAATTTTGGCAAGCCTACATGCACATGTCAACACTGTGGTGCACTTTTCTGGTATGAAGAAAGAACTCGTGGCAAAGGAAAAGGGCCACCTTCTTTTAGCTTATGCTGCAAACAGGGCAAGGTTGACTTACCTACACTAAAGAAACCACCTACTTACCTTTCAAATCTGATGTGCAAAGAAAAAGGAAAGAGATCGAGGAACTACATGGACAATATCAGAGTATATAACTCCATGTTTGCATTTACCTCCATGGGAGGAAAAGTTGACAGAGAGATAAACAATGGGTCTGGACCATATGTTTTCCGCATGAATGGCCAGAACTACCACCGAATAAGTACTCTACTGCCTGAAGAAGGCGATAAACCTCGCTGGGCGCAACTTTACATCTATGACACTGAGAACGAAGTCAAAAATAGAATTGACGCATCAACATCATCCCATAATAGAGAATCAATAGATTCACACATTGTCTTAGGCCTAAAGAACATGCTGGACAGAGAAAACGTACTAGCACAGACATTCAGAATGGCAAGAGATAGATTCAAAGAAGGTGACTATCATAATGTAAGCCTACGACTTATAAGGAAGCGTGGTGGAGATGGCAGGCAGCATAACATGCCATCAGCATCGGAAGTGGCAGCACTGATTGTTAATGACACGAGTGAGAACCAAAAAGGACGTGACATAATTGTTCATTATAAAGACACAGGGCCCAGAAGAATATCAGAAAACCATCCAAAATTCATGGCAATGCAGTACCCGTTGCTATTTCCCTATGGAGAAGATGGCTTCACAAACAAAATATTGTACAGAGATAACCATGGATCCAAATGCAAGAGGAAACATTTGACCATGCTGGAGTACTATGCTTATCGCATACAACAGCGCAAAAATCAATGTATGCACTTGCTAATGTGTGAAAAATTGACGTTGCAGTTCATTGTTGATGCACTAGCGTGCATAATCCAATATAGGCTGGACTGGATAAGAAAACATCAAGGGAATCTTAGAACTGAACTGTATGCTGGCTTGCAGGATGCAATTGAAAGGGGTGACACAAGAGCTGACCAGGTTGGAAAAAGGATACTACTTCCTTCATCTTTCACAGGCGGCCCAAGATACAAGGCACAAAACTACCAAGATGCTATGGCAATATGTCGTTGGGCAGGATACCCAGACCTGTTTGTCACTTTCACGTGCAACGCTGCTTGGCCAGAGATACAAAATATGCTAGATGAAATAGGAGTTCAGAAACCATCAGATAGACCTGACATTGTTGACCGAGTATTCCATATAAAATTGAGGGAATTGATGACAGACATAAAGGACAAGCAATACTTTGGAAAGACTCTTGCAAGTAAAAATCCTAAACCCGCATATTCATTAGTTCGAATTTATTTAATTTTAAAAAGGAACTAACAATTGTCCATCTTAATGCAGTTATATACACAATTGAGTTCCAAAAGAGGGGACTTCCACATGCCCATATACTAATCTTCCTTGACAAGAAAGACAAATGCCCAGACGCTTCAGAGATCGATAGAATAATAAGTGCAGAGATCCCAGACAAGGAAGAAGACCGCGAAGGATTTGAAGCTGTAGAAAATTTCATGATGCACGGTCCATGTGGAGAGGCAAAGTCAAATTCACCATGCATGATAGAGAACAAATGCATCAGAAATTTCCCCAAGAAATTCCACAGTGAAACAACCGTGGATGAGGATGGATTCCCAACATACAGAAGAAGAGACAATGGCAGGTACATAGAGAAAGGAAACGTTAAGCTAGACAACAGATATGTAGTCCCTTACAATAGAGACTTGCTGGTAAAGTACCAAGCACACATAAATGTCGAGCGGTGCAATCGATCTAAGTCAATCAAATACCTTTTCAAGTACATGCATAAAGGCGACGACCAAGCAACAGCCCTAATCGAATCTGATCATGATGAGATCAAGAAGTACCTGGAATGCACGTACATATCAGGACATGACGCATGTTGGCGAATATTCCAATTTGAGATGCACTATCGATATCCATCTGTTGAGAGGCTACCATTCCACCTGGAGAACGAACAGCAAGTTATTTTCCCAGACTCGGCAGACTTAAGGAAGATTGTAAGAAAAGAAAGAATAGGAGTCACTAAATTTACACAATGGATGGAAACAAACAAGATCAATGATGAAGCAAGGGACTTGACTTATGCTGAATTCCCATCAAAATGGGTATGGAAGAACAAACTAAAACAGTGGAACAAGCGGAAAAAAGGAAAAATGATTGGTAGGATCTACTATGCACATCCAGCAAGCGGAGATAAATACTACCTAAGGATGCTACTGAACACAGTGAAAGGACCCAGAACATTCGAAGAAATCAGAACTGTAGATGGAGTTGTACACCCATCATTCAAATCAGCTTGCGAAGCATTAGGATTTCTTGACGATGACAGGGAGTGGGTTGAATGCATCCGAGAGGCATCCAACTACGCATCAGGGAACCAACTACGACATCTTTTCACAACAATTTTATGTCACTGTGAGGTAACTGATCCGAAGAGAATATGGGAAAGCTGTTGGGAGGATCTAAGTGAAGACATAGAATACAAACAGAGAAAAAATCTCAACTATCCTACGCTTCGCCTAACAGAGCAACAAAAAAAGGGACATGCTCTGATAGAAATAGAAAAGCTGATGAGACAAGCTGGAAAAACACTTGAGGAATACCCTGATATAGAGCTACCAAAATGTGCTGAACTACGGGAACTTGGAAACAGACTTCTGAATGAAGAAATGAGCTATGACAAAGACAAGCAGAAAGAGGAACATGATAGCATATTTGGTAAACTTAATGCAGAACAAAAGGTAGCATTTGATTCAATAATAGAGTCAACCAACAAGGGGTTGGGAAAACTAATGTTTGTCGATGGCTACGGTGGAACAGGAAAGACTTACCTGTGGAGAGCTATCACAACCAAACTACGTTCAGAAGGAAAGATAGTACTCACGGTTGCATCATGTGGTATAGCAGCCTTACTTCTTCATGGGGGGAGAACAGCTCACTCAAGATTCCACATCCCACTAATTGTTACAGAAGAGTCAACATGTGACATCAAACAAGGATCGCACCTGGCGGAACTACTTAAAAAAACATCACTCATACTGTGGGACGAGGCTCCAATGGCAAACAGAATTTGCTTCGAGGCGCTAGACAGAAGTCTAAGGGACATACTAAGGTCCAAGGGTGAAGATAACAGCACAAAGCCATTCGGCGGTATGACTGTGGTTCTAGGAGGAGACTTCCGCCAGATTCTTCCTGTTGTGCGAAAGGGAAGACGCACGCAAATAGTAAATGCATCAATAAAACGGTCCTACCTATGGCAGCACTTCCACATCTTCAAACTTACAAGGAACATGCGCCTGAGCTGCATCTCAAGAGATGAAGACGAGCAAAAAAGGACTGCAGATTTCGCACAATGGATTTTGAACATTGGTGATGGCAAAACAACATCAGCGGATGGAGAGGAATGGATAGAAATACCTGATGACCTGATACTGAAGAAAGGAGGTGATCCAAAGGAAGAAATTGTGAAGAGCATATATCCAAACTTGGTACAGAATTATAAGAAACGAGATTTCTTAGAACAGCGAGCAATTCTATGCCCAAGAAATGAGACAGCGAGGGAAATTAATGAATTTATAATGAACATGATAGAAGGAGAGGAGATAACATATCTGAGCTGCGACACTGTATGCAAAGCAACAACTAATGACAGTGAAACCGATGTCCTATATCCAACAGAATTTCTAAATAGTCTAAACTTCCCTGGAATGCCAAACCATGTGCTGAAACTGAAAGTAGGCCTTCCAGTGATGCTACTGCGAAACATTAATCAAAGTTCAGGGTTATGTAATGGTACACGAATGACCATTACTCAGCTCGGGAAAAGATTCATTGAAGCACAGATCATAACAGGAACACATGTAGGAGAAAAGGTATATATCCCTAGAATAATAATGACGCCAACAGAGTCAGGATGGCCCTTCTTGCTAAAAAGAAGACAATATCCACTCAGTGTGTGCTTCGCTATGACCATCAATAAAAGCCAAGGACAGTCTCTAAACATGGTAGGACTATATCTGCCTAAGCAAGTATTCACACATGGGCAACTCTACGTAGCATTCTCCAGAGTTACAAGACGAGATGGGCTACGGATAATGCTAGATGACAATGAAAGCCCAGGTGAACATATGGTCAGGAACATAGTGTACAAAGAGATTTTCTAGAAGGTATTATATCATTCTCATTCATCTATATTGATCATACAAACTATGTTGCAAACTACTCATGGGTACCTTATCATTGTAAATATTCATTGCAGCTGCTCTATTCCTGCTTCTCTCCAGTACAACATTGATTGTGCTACAACATACTCTAGCGAAAGGCTGCAATTCAAAATTACCATTTACAGTGAGTATTTTTACCAGCTGAAATAGGATGATATTTCAAACATTATATCTTCCTTTCACAAACAATATATTTCATCTTTGTACTATATTCAATAATTACTACCTCTGTTTCAAAATGAATGATGTTGATTAGTGCAATTTTGAACTAACCGGCATCAAACAAAAAGAAATGGAGAGATATAAAGTTATAGGATAATTACATTTTCCTTCTATTATAACATTTTTCCCCAGAAAGTAAACATCCATGAACCATTTATTTTTTTAGACAATGGATTAAACAGGCTTAAACATCCAAAATACATGTATACAGCCAATGAGCCATTTAATCACATCATAATTCCGCAATCTTTCGTATTATGCACATACCGTCTTTCCATACAGCTGTGAACAACAACTACATCGCTGCCAATTGTCCCCTGGCGAACACCCCAGCAGCTGATGCCAAATCCACTAATCAAGGAAAATAGAGAGGACATAACCAATACAGAGGAAGGAAGATAGATAGAGAGGTCGACACACCGCAGCCGCCAACCCACCCACTGAGCTAGGAGATAATTCAAGGAGGATGTTGAGGTGAGGACGGAACATGGGAGGTGGATATGGACATGGCGCTGCAAGCCTGCAACAGCCACTGGAGGGAGGGAGACAGGAAACTACAGGAGACCCACGCCGTCCCCGCCACCCGCTGCTCTCCGCCCGCGGACCACGCCATCCCCGCCTCCTACCATATGAAGTTTTGTGAAGGTCTGGTATGGTAATTATATATAAAATTATCAAAGTTACAAGCTTTTTTTACTACAATTAGTTAACTACGAAAGCTCAATTATACAGAGTCATACAGACACCCTTCATGATGGCCCAAAAAATCTCAAATATGCAGTACAAGAGGGATAACTTGAACGTAAAGCAGAGACAAATCGATACAGAGCAAAGACATGGGAACAGAGCAACAGGACATTAGTGCAGTACACATTGACGATGCAGGGATGCACGATGCAATACCTGAGGACAGCGCCCGTTGTACAGCCCAATCGCGAGTGAAGCGGTTGGCGATGCAGTAGCTCGGCGGCGCAACCAGCTCGGCCTCGCACTCCACAACCTTGCGGGAGCGCACGTCAGATCGAGACCTCCGTCCCCGCCACCCACGTCGCCGTCCCCCCGTCCACACCGCCTGCAGCTCTCCGCTAGCGCTCTCTGCCCGCAACCCACGCCATCCCCGCCGCCCGTCGCCGTCCCCGCCATCTACGCCAGCAACCCACGCCATCCCCGCCGTCTGTCGCCGTCCCCGCCGCCTACGCCGCCAACCCAAGCCATCCCTGCCGCCTGCGCCGCCGTCCCCCCTGCCCAAAGCTCTCCGCTCGCACCTCCGGCCCGCGCCATCCGCCCTCCTCGTCCGCCCTTCCCCTCAGACCTCATCCTTTCCATTTTCCCCTCTTCTGTCACTCTCTCCTTGCTATCCATACGTATACTCGTATAGCGGAATAGAAAAGAAGAGCAAAAAAAATTAGCTAGAGTTACAGAGTATTAGTTGCCTACTACTAATTAGTATTTTAGTCAAAGCAAAGTGATGCAAAATTTGTTTGGTTAAGTGCAGTTTTTTTTCACAAATGCATAATTATTTCATCTACATAGATTAACAAAATTTAACAATCATCTGTGTTTTTCCTGTACTTGCGAGACGAAACTTTTAAAACTAATTGCGCCATGATCTAACAATGCCGTGCTACAGTAACCATTTGCTAATGACGGATTATTTACGCTTAATAAATTTGTCTCACAGTTTATATGCGGATTATGTAATTTGTTTTGTTAATAATCTATGTGTTAATAATTCAGATAACCACTTTTCTCTATCCTCTATTTTACACATGCTTCTAAAAAATCCTACGCTACCACATGATTTAAAATCTTAGACCTATTATTTTGGACCATTACATTATATCTTTTCAAAATAAAAAACATATATAAAATATAAGAAAAAAAATATGACCATTGTAACTTTAATCGGTAAAACAATTATTTACATCCGATAGACCAATCCTTAAAAATACAAATCCATTCCACCTCCCTCCCGTACATAATCACTCATCTCTCCACAATATCTGTACGTACATGCAAGATATATATCTTGCATATAACGGAATTTTAAAAAATTACCATCGAGACAATCGTCAAGCTACTAATGCAAAGGTTGTTTGATTATTATTTGTGCAGATGATAATTTGATCTAACTGGGTTAATACATTTAAAATTTTTTACACTCTATCCAAACATCCATTATATTCCATACTATATTTTAAACATTCATTTCTATCATATTTATATACCATTTTCTTTTCTTTTCTCAAAATCATTTATATACCATTTTCTATTCTTTTCTAAAAATCCTGTGTTACAAAGGAAACCCTAAATTCTTTCTAATAACAACAAAAATTATGATAGTTTAAATAATATGCCCGCGCAACTGCGCGGGCTACCTTCCTAGTTATAGTAATGTTGACAAAAATTTCAGCTTGTTTCTAAGGTGCAGTGTCATATTAATTAGTCCAGAATTCTAGACCCAGGAAATTAGATAGTAATTTCTATTGCTAAAGTGCTAAATGCTGATTGTCTTGCAAAGAAAAAGTTCATCTGGAAACTGAACTTGTGCATGCTGAGTCTCACCAATTCTGCAGGCTTTTTTGAAAAATTGTGAATCAATGTCCGAAATCTGAAAACTGATCCTAGAAAGGTCTATCTCTGAACCAAGAACTTCCTGTGTGATTCACAGTAGCGGTCCTCGTATGATCGTATCAATATCCAATGTCTGATGAAAAAGGAAAATAGTAGTATCGAGTAGCCGACACAACCTCAGTTTCGTGTTACAAGTCACTTTAGCTTTTGCCACAAGTCGAACTTCCTATTAACAGCATTCATATTAAAATACACTAACATTCACAACAATAAAACTATACAATTGGTCGATGTTAGATATGTTTAACTTAAGACAAAAGCTAAAGTGACTTAAAATATGGAACCGAAGGAATAATAGCGAGTAGGAAGACAAGGAAATTAATTTGTGCAGTTCAAGTCAGAACGTAGCAGGCGGAGACGATGGTTTTTACAGGTGCAGGTCCAGAGAGCTCCTGGAGATTTTATTCAGGTAGTGCGCCGGGTAAGGGCACCTGCTTGCCCCCTTGCAAGTTGTCACCGGGAGATTTTCGGTCGCGTGTGGCGACATGGTCTGGCAGCGAAGATTGCAAGGAACCCAGATTATAATGACTAAAAATCTACCCTATTAGCTCCGCCTGCGTCGCTCGCCCTAGGCGACACGGGCAGCGACAACACGCGCCGACAGCCCGCTTCCTCCCCCTCTCTTCCGCCTTGCCGCCGCCCGAGCAGCTGCCGGCAAAGCCACGCAGCAGCAAGGATGGTGGCGGCGGGGCCTCTTTTCTTCTCTCAAGGAGTACGGCGGGGCACCGGTGGGACTTGAGCGACTGAGGCGGCGGCGGCGGTGCCGCCAGATCCGCGCCGCTCCGGCCGGATCTGGCGGGATGGCGGCTGGCGGCGGGGAAGGTGATGGCGGCGGGGGTGATGATGGCGTCGGGGATGGCGAGCTGCGTCTGTTATTGGGGGCCGTCGACGGCGGGGATGGAGGTGGCGGCGAGGCTGGCGACGGCGGGCCGGATCCAGGCACGCCGGAGGCGGATCCGGCCCCCCGTGGGTGGATCCGGCCCCCCATATGGGCGGATCTGGCGCGGGAGCTCCACGTGCTTGGCGGCTGGTGGCTGGTGGCGGTCGCGGCAGCTGGTGGCGGTCCCGACGGCTGGTGGCGGCGTCGGGGCTGTCGCGGCGGCGGCTTTGGCTGGCGACGTCGACAGAGGACATGGCGGCTGCGTCAGGGTGGTTGCTGGCAGCGGCTGCGTTGGCGGTGGCGGCGGTTCGCGATGGCGGTGGCTGGCGTCGGCGGCTGGTGACAGCGGCCGGCTTGCGGCGGCCATGACTGAGGAGGCAGCGGCGACATCGGCGGATGTGGCAGTGGAGGCGGGGAAGGAGTCTGTTTGGTGGCGGCGGGCGACGGCGCAGCTGTTTTGCGGAGGCGGAGGCTGGCGTCGGTGGCAGCGGTGACGTCGGCTGTAGCCGTGAAGGTGGTGGCAACGTCGGAGGATGCGGGTCGCTGGCAACAGCAAGTGGAGGCGGGGAAGGAGTCGGGTGCGAGGTGAGGATGGCGTCGGCGAGGTGGCTGGGTGTTCGGCAACAGCGGCTGCGGTGGTGGTGACCGTGTCTGCGGCCACCGAAGGCATGGCGGCCTCGGACGGCTAGCCGAGGGCGTGGGAGACGACTACATCTAGCTGGTGCAGCATCGTTTGGGTGGAGGGGTCGGAGACCAGCTTGGCGCAGAGAAGCGCAGCCGATGGCAGCGGAGGCTGGCTCGGCGCGAGAGGCGCGGGCGGCGGAGATGGAGGCCGGCTTGGCACGGAAGGCATGGCCGATGGAGGGAGGCTGGATTGGCGCGAGAGGCGCTTCCGGTGGAGGAGGCCGGCTTGACGCAGAGTGGCGTGGCCGGCGGTGGAGGAGGCGACCTAGGTGTGAGGAGGAGCTGTCGGTGGGTGTGGCGCGGTCTTCGGCGCACGAAGGCTGGCCGGCAGGGGACGCCGGTGCAGAGGTCCCACATGTCGGCAAAGCTTGTGTGGTGGTGGAGCATCAGTGCGTCAGCCGTGGATTCACAGGTGGTGAACGGTGGGTGAAAACCCAGTCCAGCCTTGGTCGGACTGACAACGATGTCCTGAGGGAGTTGTTGCGCTGTCTCACCCCTCAAGGATGATTGCCGAGCGAAAGCCCAGTCTTGGCTCTTTTAAGTCTTGACAGACGACGGCAGCAGTTTTTCCGTCGCTTCTCTTCTTGAAGACGTTGTTTTGGCATCCTATAGGGGCAATCTCGCATGTGTCCCTTTGTTGGTCTAGTGGCGGTCGGTCACGCTTAGCAGCGGCCGGTCCGGTGTTAGCCTTCTCCTGGGCTTGTTGTTGGCGATGTCGCCGTGTGGGTGGTGGTATATTTGGTTGTAATCTTGTAATTTTTTCCTGCTCTATCAATAGAACTTCGCACCGTCTCGTGCGAGTCGTTCAAAAAAAAAAAACTTTCTAGCAAAGGAAAGAGATCTAAGATAGTAGAGAGTCCAGCATTGGAAGAGTGGAGCTAGTATGGAGAGGACAGGCTACCTGCAGTGATGAACGGCGTCGATCACCACCGGTCGCCAGACAAAGTGGGGAGCGAGAGGATAAATTAGCTAGAGGCATTTCGGTATGGGCATATGTGAGGAAAATTGGGTTACCATTTTAATTTGGAAGAAATTTCGAAATGTCATTCTGGCATCGGCCCCTAAGTTGGAAATAGCATTCCACGAAATCAAATTGGAATTTTTACAACGGCATTTCGGCGAAGCCTACTTTTGATGATGGCATGTATCCAAATTTCTCATGACGCGCAGAGTCCACGGATCGGTCACTAGTGTGCAATGCGCCGTAGACAAGTGTCTAACCAGAACCGAACATCCGGATCGGGGCAATGGTGGTGTCGACCGGAGCGGGAGCTGATCGGCGGGAAGACCGCCGGCAGCGCACGGGGGTGTGTGCCGTGCGCGCGCGGCTCCCCTTCTAGCCCAAAAAGGAAAAAAAACTAGCAGTTTTGGGCCCCGAAATATCCAGCCCACCAAAACTATCAAGGCCGAAACCGAAGCCCACAATGATGAAGGGCTCCCGGATTCACCGGTCGATCGCGTCGCGCGATCCCTCGGCGAGGCCCTGATCGGCGGCAGGAGCAGAGCCATGATCGACGACGACGAGGAGGCAGCGCTATGGTCGCGACGAAACACGCCAGTGGAGCACCCCATCCGCCGCGCGTACGACCGCGTCGCCGCCGCCCTCAGGGAGAAGCGATCCAACGAGCGGCTCGCCCGGGAGTGCCTGGACCACTACAACGCCCTGCACCCGGGCGACGAGCACGACCTCGCACCCGGCGGCGACGTGACGCTGTCCCGCTCGCACTGCAGCACCGGCGCCTGGACGCACGGCAACTTCGTGGCTCGCCGCCGCCGGCGGCAATGGCGCCGCTGCCTCGCCTTCGTCCTCCCCGCCACGCGGACGCTCTTCTTCTTCGAGCACATGTCCGGCGACGACTACCTCGGCGTCATCACGTGCATCCCGATGCCGGACGAGCCGGTCGGCGGCTTCCTCGCCAGAATCCCTGTCATCCGCCGGTGGGCGACCCCTCGCCGGAGCGGCAGGTGGGACTGCGTCTGCAAGACGTGCCGCCGCGGCCTCCGCGTGACGCACCACTGGCTGAAGAGGAAGGTGATCGGCGAGTTCCCGTGCGGGCACATGGTGGCGGAGAGCGTCTGCAAGATGTGCTACCACTACTCCGACGTCGTCCATCCGAGCCCGGGCAAGTTCGCGCGCGGGTACCTGGAGCACGAAGACGAATTTGGCCACTACGGCCGTAATGGCTTGAGGGATTATCCATGTTAACTAACCCCAGCGTGTTTCTCTTCGCTTGCAATGCTCACATTAGAAGATCTACACTAATAAATACGTATGTAACAGATATTTTTGTCACTTACAGGTAGGAGTAGAAATTTGACATGTTGCAGCAAACAATTCGTCATGCATGTTAGAGCTGCACAATTTCAGATTTTGCTATATATATTTCAGAATTTGATGCTTGTGTTGGATAATTTCGTAGGTGAAGGCGTCCAGCACGCTGTCATGATGCGATAATGCTTCTCTTTGGACAATTTCGTATGAGTGAAGGCGTCCAGCATGCTGTCATGATGGTATTATGAACTGCACTGTAATATTATTAGTCCAAAATTCTAGACCCCAGGAAATTGGATATTAATTTCCTATTACCAAAGTGCTAAATGCTGAATGTCCTGCAGAGAAAGCTAATAATCAGGAAAAATCCGCCGTCCGCCCATTACTTGCCTTGCTCAACTGGGCTTGAGCACATCCTGATCAATTCTACGGGCTTCTAGAAAAACTGTGAAGCGAGGCTTAAAATCTGAATTTTGATTCTAGGACTAGAAGGTGTTTCTTTCAGAACGATGAATTCTTGTTAGTGACCTGTCCTCATATCAACATCTGAAGCCTTGTGAAATCGAGGAGTAGCATCTAGCAGATAGTGCCGTTCTAGAATCTTGATGGTTACAATCCCTGTCTGGATCTCGCGTGCGGTTTTCTCAAAAGTCAAAAACACAAGCTGTTACTCTCTGGAAGCGAATCAATCATATAGTCTTCGGGTACACTTGGACCATACAGTAGCTTGCATCTCTGTCCACAACCTTTTTACTCAAAACTCAAAAAAGTCGTTGAAGTTTCAGTACAGAAGGAACTGACAGAGTAGTGCCGAACTCTTAACGAAAAACCAAATTCGCTACATCTGCAGCGCAATTTTTCCTTTGCGGACAGTGTGCTAAGCGGTGAATTCTGCAACACAACGAGTTTCAGAGTCTACAATGTCCTAGCCTACTACACCAAAACTCAGACTAATCATGGACTTACTGCCAGAATAGTTAGTACTAATGTTTAGCAATATAAAACGCAACAATGTGCTGGTAGGTAGTAGGAGTTGTACAGACAGTGGGCATCAGAGTGACATCCTTTATGTGTTTTTCTGAAGCTAGTCTACGCACAAGTCCACAGTCAGCAAAGGCGAGCCGGGCTCTTTGAAATTTTCTTCAGTTTCTGACGTTGCACATGAGACTTCCTGCTCCTTTCCTTCGTGGCCACTCTCACTCATCGCTAGCCACTGGATCACCGAACGTGCGGCTGAGATCGAAGCTGGGATCTCTCTGTGGGAGACGGGTCAATGGGCTGCACAGCTGCATCATCCAGAAGCATTTCCTGTCGCTGCCAGCATTGTCATCGAGCACCTATACGGTGTGCATTTTCAGGTTAAAAAAAAAAACGGAGTATCCAAAGCTATACTCGGTATTCTAGAAGTGAAGAAACCGGATAAACTTTTCACTGTGGTATTTATCCATATATACCGACTATATACTGTATGCACGTGTGGTATTGAGTGCAGTATCTTATGCTCCCTTTCACTTACCGTTTCAGGCCTACGACTAGTCAACGAATGACCACAAAGAGTTTAAAGACAACCCAGAGGCGCCAGAGCCACATCATTATCTAAGACTTTTCTGTTTGACTCAACTTTAGACCAGGGATTTGTGCACGAGTACATCTAGATGTGACACTGACATCGTGGGCCCAACTCACCCTGAACCCGTGACCTCGTGCTGACGACTCACATTCCCGGCCTCAGGTGGATGATCCCCCTGTAAAATCAGTGGAAACAAAAAGCTTATCATCATTTGCTAATTGCTTCCACTTTAAATTTACTTGCCGTGCTTGACCGGTTATAATCTCGACTCTCGTAATAGTTTTCTTTTTCTTTGAAGACTAATAAATAGTGTGATACTAGTTCTAATCGGTTTGAAGATATACTAAAAGAAATGGTTTCAACAGCGACAATACGGCCAGTGGAGCAAAATTAGATGTTTAAATTATTGGTGGCCATGGGTGATAGCAATAAGATCGCGCGATCTGCAACATCTTCCACTCCTCTTTGTCGCAAGTGATCGACACCTCTGTGCTTCCGAATAGTTTGACCATTCATCCGACGGCAGAGTAATGTGCCGGCACATGCTACAGTCCAAGCCAACGGAGCATATTGTCGTACCTTGATCATGAAAAGATCGCAAAACTCCCATAAAGAAACCATGTCACGAGCTGTGCAATTCGTACACGTTGCTCAGCTTAGTCCTTAACTTAACTTAGTAGTAGCTGCATAAACAAACCATCTAGAACATATCCCTTTCAAACAACGCCACCATCTGACCAGCAAAAACCAAACAAAAGATGAGCTAAACCACCAACTGGTGAACTAGTATCAAATTATAAAGGAAAGCATGGCTGAAACTTCCAAGCAAGCAGCACCCAAAAACTAATCCTAAATTCCTAACAAATTCAATCATTTAACCAAACAGGATAATGGAGGAAGAAAAGTCTGCACGTGCCGTTCACACTGCATATAAATGGCCCACCCATGTTTCTCACGGTGGAGTCCGCGATGGCTGCTTGCCTCACCGAGTGAACGCACGCGCTCGCCGGCGGCGACCAAGAAACCACGCGAAGACATGGCATTCCCGAGCGGCAAAGCCTACTACCTCCACCTCCTCCTGCTCGCGATCCTGCCAAGCCTCGTCGCGCGGCGCGGCGCGGCGCAGCAGGGCGGCGTCGACGAGAAGCAGCTCCTGCTCCAGGTCAAGCGCGCGTGGGGGGACCCCGCGGCGCTCGCGTCGTGGACGGACGCGGCGCCGCACTGCCGCTGGGTGTACGTGTCCTGCGACGGCGGCGGCACCGGCCGCGTCACGTCGCTGTCCCTCCCCAACGTCGCGGTCGCCGGCGCCGTCCCCGACGCCATCGGCGGGCTGACGGCGCTCACGGTGCTCAACCTCCAGAACACCAGCGTCGGCGGCGTGTTCCCGGCGTTCCTCTACAACCTCACCGCGATCACCTCCATCGACCTCTCGATGAACAGTATCGGCGGCGAGCTCCCCGCCGACATTGACCGGCTCGGCAAGAACCTGACCTACCTCGCCTTGAACAACAACAACTTCACCGGCGTGATACCGGCGGCGGTGTCGAAGCTCAAGAACCTGAAGGTGTTTACCCTCAACTGCAACCAGCTCACCGGCACGATCCCGGCGGCGCTCGGCGAGCTCACTAGCCTCGAGACGCTCAAGCTCGAGGTGAATCAGTTCACCCCCGGCGAGCTGCCGGGATCGTTCAAGAACTTGACGAGCCTGAAGACGGTCTGGCTGGCGCAGTGCAACCTCACCGGCGATTTCCCCAGCTACGTCACAGAGATGATGGAGATGGAGTATCTCGACCTGTCCCAGAATTCATTCACCGGAAGCATACCTCCTGGGATTTGGAACATTCCAAAGCTGCAGTACTTGTTCCTGTACACCAACCAGCTCACCGGCGACGTCGTCGTCAATGGCAAGATTGGAGCAGCGAGCTTAATTTATCTCGACATATCTGAGAACCAGCTGACTGGAACGATCCCAGAGAGCTTTGGAAGTTTGATGAACCTAACTAACTTAGCCTTGATGACGAACAACTTCTCCGGCGAGATACCGGCGAGCCTTGCTCAGCTTCCATCGCTGGTGATAATGAAGCTGTTCGAGAACAATCTCACCGGTCAGATTCCGGCGGAGCTCGGGAAGCACTCGCCATTTCTGAGAGACATCGAGGTCGACAACAACGACCTCACCGGGCCAATACCGGAGGGGGTCTGCGACAACCGCCGGTTGTGGATCATCTCCGCCGCCGGCAACCGGTTGAACGGCTCAATTCCGGCGAGTCTTGCCACTTGCCCGGCGCTGCTGAGTCTCCAGCTCCAGGACAACGAGCTTTCCGGCGAGGTGCCGGCGGCGCTGTGGACGGAGACGAGGCTGATCACCGTGCTCCTGCAGAACAATGGACACCTCACCGGAAGCCTGCCGGAGAAGCTGTATTGGAATCTGACGAGGCTTTACATCCACAACAACCGTTTCAGTGGCCGGCTTCCGGCGACGGCCACCAAGCTCCAGAAGTTCAACGCCGAGAACAACTTGTTCTCCGGCGAGATACCTGACGGGTTCGCCGCCGGGATGCCATTGCTGCAGGAGCTGGACCTGTCAAGGAATCAGCTCTCCGGGGCCATCCCGGTGAGCATCGCGTCGCTCAGTGGCTTGTCGCAGATGAACTTCAGCAGGAACCAGTTCACCGGCGATATTCCGGCGGGATTGGGCTCCATGCCGGTGCTCACCCTGCTCGACCTTTCGTCGAACAAGCTCTCCGGCGGTATTCCGACGTCGCTGGGATCGCTGAAGATTAACCAGCTTAACCTGTCGTCAAATCAGCTCACCGGCGAGATCCCGGCCGCGCTCGCCATCTCCGCCTACGACCAGAGCTTCCTCGGCAACCCCGGTCTCTGCGTATCGGCGGCGCCGGCGGGTAACTTCGCGGGCCTGCGCTCGTGCGCCGCGAAGGCATCCGACGGCGTATCGCCGGGTCTCCGGTCGGGTCTCCTCGCCGCCGGCGCGGCCCTCGTCGTCTTGATCGGGGCGCTCGCCTTCTTCGTCGTCCGCGACATCAAGAGGCGGAAGCGGCTCGCGCGGACAGAGCCGGCATGGAAGATGACCCCATTCCAGCCCCTCGACTTCAGCGAGGCCTCCCTTGTGCGCGGGCTCGCCGACGAGAACCTCATCGGCAAGGGCGGCGCGGGGCGCGTGTACCGCGTCGCGTACGCCAGCCGGAGCAGCGGCGGCGCCGGCGGCACCGTCGCCGTGAAGCGCATATGGACCGGCGGCAAGCTGGACAAGAACCTGGAGCGCGAGTTCGATTCGGAGGTGGACATCCTCGGCCATGTCCGCCACACCAACATCGTGAAGCTCCTCTGCTGCCTCTCCCGCGCGGAGACGAAGCTCCTCGTGTACGAGTACATGGAGAACGGCAGCCTCGACAAGTGGCTCCACGGGAACAAATTGCTGGCCGGTGGCGCGACGGCGAGGGCGCCGTCGGTCCGGCGAGCGCCGCTGGACTGGCTGGCGAGGGTCAGGGTGGCCGTCGGCGCGGCGAGGGGCCTCTGCTACATGCACCACGAGTGCTCGCCGCCGATCGTGCACCGGGACATCAAGTCCAGCAACATCCTGCTCGACGCTGAGCTCATGGCCAAGGTCGCCGACTTCGGGCTCGCCCGGATGCTGGTCCAGGCCGGGACGCCGGACACCATGACCGCCGTCGCCGGATCGTTCGGCTACATGGCTCCCGGTAATTCACCTCAACCAACCTCGCTGCTCGTCTCACGATTCTCCCTTGATTTCTTCTCTTAGCACAGCGACTTACCTTGTGCTGACCACGATCGTCTCGTGCAGAGTGCGCGTACACGAGGAAGGTGAACGAGAAGGTCGACGTGTACAGCTTCGGGGTGGTGCTCCTCGAGCTGATCACCGGCAGGGAAGCCCACGACGGCGGCGAGCACGGCTCGCTGGCGGAGTGGGCGTGGCGGCACCTGCAATCGGGCAGGAGCATCGCCGACGCGGTGGACAGGTGCATCACCGACTCCGGGTACGGCGACGACGCCGAGGTCGTGTTCAAGCTCGGCATCATCTGCACCGGCGCGCAGCCGGCGACGAGGCCGACAATGAGGGACGTTCTGCAGATTCTGGTGAGGTGCGAGCAGGCGCTCCAGAACACCGTGGACGGGAAGGTGGCGGAGTACGACGGCGACGGCGCGCCGTTTCTGCCGATCAGGGGTGGCAGCCGCCGGAAGCAGCTTTCGGACACCAAAGGCATCGACGACGGCAACGGCAGCTTGGACAGCATAGTATGAGAACAATGGTCAATAAGAAGTATAACCTGATCCAATGGTTACCATCTAGGAGAGATGGCACGCTAGTTAGGAGAGCAGGTAGATACCAGACAAATACATTCGCCATCCTTCAGTTATTTGCATGTAATGAGTATTGTAACTTTGTAAATGCATCTATAAAATTTTGGGACAGTGAGAGTGCAGTCACATACATATATGAGATCAAACAAGAGCAATTAGATTATGTCCCCTTCTTTATTACGAAGAGAAAATACAGAGCAAAAAAATCTTGGTTCTCAACATCAATTAAGGGGGAAAAGAATCTGACAGAACAGGAATGGAAATTGCCTGTGCCTCCATTTCCCTGTTAGTCTGCTACTGCCATCCAACGTTTTATGCCATTAGAAAACCTCCAAACTCATTGGCGCTATACTAGCTATATCCCGCTGCAGAGGCACTTATGTTTGCCCTCAGAATAGCCAAAAAAAGATGGTAAGATTTCAAGGGGGGAGCCAGGAGTATTATGTGGATTTTGAAGGGGGAAATGAGAACCTACAAACGGAGTTTGATTCATCATTCATCAAGATCATCCTTAAAGCTAGTCGATCTCGGCATACTGGGAGTGCGAGGCTGCGAGAAGAGCAGCTCCAATGCCAGAACCATCGTTGGCCAGCTTGGTAACCACCGAAGACGAGACATCATCCCCAAGAAGGTCTGTTAGAGTTGATTCTAAGCAACTGCTGAACTTCTTGTAATGTTCATAGAGCCCACCATCCAAGGCAATGACAGTCCTAGGCATCTTACTGCCGTCTTTTGGCATCTTGTCCCGACCTAGCTTCTTTAGGACCCCATATATGCCAGCAGCAGCCAAGCGTGCAGCACGCTCTGCAACTATGTCACAAATGTGACTGGTAATGTATCTTACTTCCAGGGAAGTATCTGGGACCTGAATAAAAGATCAAATCATAAATAAGCAACCAGTACTCATTGAACAGTGTTGGATGTTGCGTATCCACTTTGGGTCAAGAAATTTCATACCCCGACGATATCCTTTAGCTTAGCTCCAACAGTTTTAAGGTCATGTGACGAGTCATGATGCATGGCTGACATATCCGGTGTCCTGTGATACAACAATTGAGATACTTATAAAAAATTCTACCAGAGTTGCATAAGATTGAGGGGTTAGAAGCATAAAGAAAAACTGGTGAGCAAAAACCAAACCACCCTAATTATCCAAGCTAGATAACTTCTAGTTGCACACAATTATGAGAATCAACCAGAACCAGAAGAAAGTAGTAATGGATAAAACAACAAAGTGTATGTTTGTCACCTTCCATGGATTTGCTAACTGATTTAGCATGATAATTTCAAGATATACAAACAACTTCCCCTTCCATAATCTATCTGGGTATATTATCAACAGTGCGAATATTATAATGGAAACGATGCCAACGTCTTTATATCATGTGCACTCTTATCCAAGGGGTAGTCACAGAAATCGTGAAAAAAAAAACTTGACCAGCATGATAGTTAACAACAAAGTAAAACGGCTTTTGCCATGACAAAAGGAAGGAATGAAGATCAAAAGAGAGATGGTACAGAAATATACCTTAGTACAAACGGTTGCTCTAGCTTAGATGGAACAACATCCCCAAACAAAGCTGCATCATGAGCAAGCTTCAGCAAGATTCTTCGCACTATCTCTCCAAGATACATGCCAGAAATCAACTTTTCATATATCTGTTGGAAAATACATACAAGTTAATGCGGTCCACCTAAAAGGCTAAAACTAAAAGGAGAGGAAAATACTGGGGATAGAATACCTGCTCTCCAGGATTCAAGCTTTCAAAATCCATTGCTTTATCGAATTCTGAAAGAGGAAGCTTATCTGATTTAAAGCTCCCCCATTCTGTGTTGATTACCTAGAGAATACCAAATAATTCCACGTTTACATATTTTTTTAAGTAGGGTTAACATTCAAGAGTGTTGGCATTGATCATCTATAAGACATAGACAACTAATGATAATCCCAAGCATAAGGTATTCACACACTAACCATATTTCCGGACCTAGGCAGTAAACCGGTCCATTTAGGAATTGCATTAGCATTCTCAACATATGCTGCATTTGTACCAGTGCCCAATATTATAGCAGCAACAACACTGTTATCCGCATACCTCCCACCAGCCAATGTGCCGACAGTGTCATTAACCTAACATCAGTGGTAAATCATGTCAACAATGTTTGCATCACATCATCAGATGTGAATACCCCAAAAGCAGCATCAGGATACAAATGATTATCAATGCCTCAGATAACGGAGCTGAGCATAGATATAGTGTGGAAGTAAGAAATTGACGAAATTAATATATATTAACTTACCAATGCTGCAATTTTCATATCTAATCCCTGCCTCTCCATGGCCTTGCCCAACTCAGATACAACATCTTCGCCAACCTAATTCAGGAGATAATATAGCAAAATCAAATTATTCTTATTGGATGCTTGACAGTTCACACAGATATGATCAACCAGGCAAACATAATACTGAGTACTATTAAAGATCCTCAAATTAAATATGCTTCCTGATCAAGGTCGATATTTCTTTTCACTAACCTAGTTAAGTTGATTACAATGTACACAAAGGGAGATTGTAGCAAATAGCTAATTGAAATACTCCATTGCCATATTCAATCAAGCTTTATCAAGGAACCTTGTGACATAATTCATGTGTTTAAAGAAGGATCAGGATTGTGTTCTAGTCAGGGTATGTCCAAAAGTTATTTTTGACTTTTACCGCGTCATTGATGGAGAAACCCTTTGTCCACTTGATGAGCGTTCCTGACGATATTGATGTCTGGCTCACTGGGAAGGAAAAGGTGAAGCCCAGCTCTCTCTGTCTCCCTTCTGGGAGGTGGAAATCATCACCTTCAGTATCAACAAATTTTGACAATGCAGAAGCAATAAAATCAAACAGTTCCTGCATTAATAGTCAGAAAATACATAAGACAAGCATGGAATGTACAGCTCCAAGAAATTTAAAATCAAGCAGCAAATGCTTACCATGGAAGTTCCAACCATCAGATGTGGTGGAATTGAGACTTCCTCGTACTGTTGTTGGACGACACGTTTCTCCTTGCCACCGAGTTGGACTCGCAGGACGCGGAAGTTGGTTCCTCCAAGATCCAATGCATAAAACAACCCCTGTTCATTTCTGCAAAGGGAAATCATTATGATCAAAGAATGAAATTACTACTTTTGGAAGAAGGCAGCAGGAAACATTGTATGCTTATGGGTGAGTGAGTTCTAACAGACTGGTAGAAGGATCCGATAGAATAAGAATGAATCATTATATTTAAGAAACTTCCTTCAGGATGTGCCTGCCACATTTAGCTTAACGATGTGGAGGTTACAGAGAAACTTATTACCAGACCAACTATACCATGAGATAAGCTCGACTGATGGATCTAATTGGTCAGATTGCTAACAAGGAAACCACAATGCAAAGAAACTCTCTGCCATACATTAGTTAATTACCTGTCACTGAAGCCTTAACAAATCAAACCAACAAGAAATTAATTAATCACATATCATAATCAGAAATCCTAAAGAGCCAAAGTAGGAACAAATGGACGATCAAATTAATTAATCACATATCATAATCAGAAATCCTAAAGAGCCAAATTAGGAACAAATGGACGATCTACTATAGATCACAAAACCGAAGATCATCTGAGAACGATAGGATATGTTGACGGGAGACCTATCTTTCCTAGCTTAGATAGGCCAATTTATCTATCTTGTTTGAGTTCTATGTAGAATCCTGTTTACACAAGGACATGAGGGGTACAGTTCGTAATCCGGTACCCCGCAAATTGTTTTAGCAAACAAATGTGATCTATAATCTATAACATGTATGTATAGTATGTGTATGCACAATCAGCTAAATTAAAACAATCATTTTCAAGCACAAAAATCATCCTTGTCAAGAGTATTATCATTTTCTCTTGGCTACTTTATATTTTTTTCTATAACAATGATTTATGTTTGTGTTAATAACACATACTAGCACTTCATTTTTTTTCTCATTGCATGATGCTTTAGTAACTCTGTACCCCCATCACCGAAATCCTGCGTCCTGGTGCATGAGAAGCAATTTCAGATGCCCACGACTCCACATTTTTCCTTCAATCACTGGTATGAGCCAATTTGCCTTGGCTCTCCTCAGCAGAGTCCGAGAGCAAGCGTTTCCTTGTGGTTACATAACTTATTTCAGTTATAACAAATGGCTTATATTGTTTGGCAAAGCTAGGATTGATCTAGCTTCGATCGGAACGTACAAAAAAAATCCCAATTCACGAATACGAGACACCAAAACCACATGAAGATCAAATGGGAGATTATAGTTCCATTCTCTTCGGATCACCACTAGGCGCAATTTTCGGGGGAATCTGATTTTCGTACAAACATCATAAAAAGAATTCGCACATTTCCTACCATCCCATCAAAAGGTCAGTCGGTCCTAATCAGAGCACGGAGATAAATTCCCACGGTTACGCGCGTCACTACTAGATTTGTTCCCGAACGATTCGCATCAATACGAGACCTTTCCCAATTCCAAACTTTTTAGATCACAAAGTTCCAAACCCATAATACTAAAAACGAAAGGAAACATAATACGAAAAACGAAAGGAATCAGACATCAGATCGGAATCGAGGCGCTTACCCGGTGGGGAGGTTGTCGACGTAGGTGATGAGCATCTTAACCATGGCGTGGCTGTCCCCGCGCAGGCCTCGCTCCATCTCGGTGACCATGGCGTCCGAGATGCCCCGCAGCAGCGCCGTCGGGGTCGACAGCGCGTGCTCCACGTCCTCGATCACCGCCGCCACCTTCCTCTTCCTCTCCGCCGCGGCTCCCTCCACCAGCTCCAGGTCCCTCCTCCTCCGCCTCCGCGCCAGCACCACCGCCACCCCGACCGCCGCGGCCACCACCACCGCCGTCCCCACCGCCGCCGCCTTCCCCATCACCGCTGCTCCGCCTTCCCTTCCTCCGATCGATCCAGGTGCCCGAGACCTCCACCGAATTCCGCTTCTGGATCCGAGGCTATGGCGCTCTGCGAGATCCTCTCTTCCCCCCTCCTCTCTCCGGCCGCGTAGGAGAAAGGAGGACGAGAGCCACTGACTTGGGCGTTTTAACCGGTAGCCTCGAGTACCCTTCGCCTTTGCGCCATAAGCGGATCCGCACTCAGGATTTGTACGGCTCAGATCCGCTCTTGTTTGGGAATGGACGGCCTGGATTGGGTGTTTGTCGTAAGTAGATCTGGGGTGGTTGGCTTGACAATTGTGCGATTGGTTTTTGGTCTTTTGGTTATAAATTATCTTTTGAGGTGAGTGATTTTTCTAAAGATAAAAGATAATTTATAACGGATTTTTGGGAGGCCAACACGGACAAGTGCGGTGCGGCGTGATCCAATTAACAAGAAAACACTCCAAAACAAAATCAACAAGATATCTTTTATTGCACACGTTGACGTTCATTATACGATCGGAAGTGTACTTCCAAGCCAACCATGTCGATGGGGCCCACGTAACAGTCTCAGTCCAAATAGAACTTGGAAAGGAGACTTTTTAGGGGTAACAAAAAATCAGCGGCGTACGGCAGACAAAGGATAAGGGAATTAAGAAAATGTACAACTAGTCACGTGGATGGCCGGGTGGGTCCCTCTGGAGATTCCTGACGTGAGAAGAACGAGATGACAGATGAGCGGACGCGGATCCTCTGACTTTGCATATCAAAGTCATGAGCGTGAAGTTCCATTCTATCCACCGTCCATTATCATCAGACGGTTTAAACTCATTCTCCTAATTTCTTTCTTCTTCCTCCGTTCCTTGCTCCCTTCGTTGCATAGCTTCATGGCCGGTTGCCATTGTCGGCTTTCAACAAACTTCAATCGCATCATGGCCGATGCAGAAAACGAAAAGGGGCTTGCTATAGGGCAATCTTTTAGCCTCGTACCCCACGCATCCCCGCATCATTGCGCGAATAGAGCTTGGTGATGATATGGGGACACGATACCAGGTGCGTCGTTGAAATGTCAGCTCGTTAAGTACTGATGATAGTCCTTCACTGGAGAAAGTGATGTTCAAATTCAGTGGTCTTAGACTTTGGGTAAGATCATGCAAAGGGAGAAGCTTCAACAATAATCGAATGCCATTTTTCTTGTTGCAACAACAATCTGACTAAGACAGAAGCTGTAGCCTTAAAAGAAAATTTTCAACAACATGTCTACACCTTTTGAGCGGCAGAAATTGTGTGCTTTGTTGGCCAAGAGTGACAGCCATGGCGGCCAACCGTGAAGCTACGCAGAAATAGGAGCAAGGAAACAGAGGAAGAAGAAAGGAACTGGGGGGACGATTTTGGATCGTCGGATGATAACGAACGGTGGATAGAGCAGAACTGCACGCCTGTGACTTTGCAACCCAAAGTCAGAGGATCCGCTTCCCCAGATGAGCCACGCCCATGCGCACGCGGCGGAGACGCAACGGCCAACGGCTCGTGCAACGGCGGATGCTCGCGGTTTTGGGGCGGTGAAACTCAGGGAAACCCGCTGAGCCGTAGTACAAATTCGACACGCACCGGTGTCGTACAAATCCGAGAGACACGATGGTTTCCGCGCAAGATGCACTTCCGCACGGGCGCGCTGCCGAGGATCTCAATTCTAAACCGTATCCAGATGAATTTTACTCTGCTTGTTACCCTATCTATGTCTGACTAGGTTGGATATACTTATCCATATAAAGGCGAAATGCTATACGTATGACTTGAGCATCTGACTTCTGGACGACTGCGTAGTACACAACGTCAGTAACAAATAGAATATCTTACAAAGCCTCACACCGTCACGCATCGCATTGTTCTTATAAAAGGTAAGTGGAACCCGTTCAATATTAGATTTGAAGTCAATATCCCCAAGCCAATAATTCATCATAACTAAAGTTTAAGTTGCTTTTAGAAAATTTAGGAGTAACTAGCGACATTATTGACTTTCACATATACTCGGCAAAGAAGAAAAAAAAAGATGATGTCTCAAAATCAGGTTATCTTTAACCTATAACTCATAATATATGTGGTAGTAATTACTCCCTCCCTCTCATAATAACTTCGTTTTAGACCCTTCCATTCCATTTGCCCTATAATAAGTTTATTTTTTTAAAGACATTATTACGTCAGAGTTTATAAAAATAGAGTATAAATATATTTTGAGTATATAAAGAGAGAAATGATTACATTGAAATTTGATAAAACGGGAGTATCATAGACTTTTGGGGTTTTGTATTGATATGTATGGGATAGATAAAAAATGAAATTATTTTAGAACGGGGGAATATATAAGGCTAAAGGGACTTATATTTTGGATCATATACTATATAAGTTACTCTCATGTACTACCATTAATGCTCCGTTAGCATTGGCGTCCATCATATGTTAGAGTCCCAGCTTGGTTGAGGCAGGGCTGTGCCGTCAAATTTGTATGCCCTGTACAATGCTCTAAGTGAGACCTAAATCAAGTACCAAATATAGCTAAAATAAGGGATAATTTCGTTTTTGCCCCCATTTTCATCTCTAATATTGATTTTGCCCCTACTTTTTGGGGTTTTCGTTTTTGCCCCCACTTTTTTTTTGAACTGAAAGAGATGTTTGCCCCTGTTTTGGATGGAGGTTAGTGGGACTGAATTTATGGAAGAAAATAAAGAATTTTTGATTTAGTGAACTACCTTTTTACCCCTGTGAAATGTTTCCCAGGAGTGAACCGAGGCTGCAGCAGGTTCATGGACCAACCCCGCGCTTGGCCCCTGAGGGCCAAGGAGAAGACGTTCGCCATGACCCGGTCGCCACCCTCCGCCGCCTCTATGATCGCCGTGCAGATCTGGAGGGACTCGGAGGGGTCGGCGCCATCATCGTACTTCTCGGTGAGGCAGGGCTGGAGCTTTGGGGGTCCTCGGACATTCCGAAGACTCGCCACAAAGACATGGTAGCCAAGCTTACCTGGTGGGGATGTGGGGGGCCTTGCCCCCTGCCTGGGGTGGCGCGACACTCCTGAGGATGCTGCGCCTTCCCCCGTAGCGGCGGTGCGACACTCACCACGCCGGCGCTCGAAAGAACCTCAAAAATCACAACACGTCCCCTACCTGGCGTGCCAGAGGTGTCGGAGAATGAACTCCTCCACCAGGGAACCGTGAGGCCCCCCTTTGTGAGTTCGGCCGGGGGCAGCGGGTGAGATTCGAGGGCTTGGTGAGCGGAGCTGTGTGGTCTTGATGGGGTTAGGCCACTCCAAGACGATCAGACCAAAGAGGTTTATACAGGTTCGGGCCGCTATGAAGCGTAAAACCCTACTCCTATGCATGATTGATTGAATGTAGAACACCAGTGCTTGGGGTTGCGAGACCCAAGCGCCAGTTCGCTCGGAAGTCCCCCCCTCCACCACTAGGCCTGGACCTCCTTTTATACCTCAAGGGGTTACCACATGGGCCCAACAACCTAACCTAGCTCCGGTGGAGAAGTATTATAATCTTTGCATTAAATGCATGTCTTGTCTCCTGACTTGGGAAGCCAAGCACACGTCGTCTTGATGATGGGGCCTGTCAAATCTTGCCGCCTGACACGGGGGGTGCCCCTGTCAGTCACCATTTAATGGGTGAAGACTTCTGAGCTCCTATTACACCGGGAAACGGGAGCCTTGCTTTGACCAGAGCGGGAGGACCGACTCCGGTTGGGATAAGAGGATGAGAACCTCTCACCATCATTATTTGATGGGATATGTCGGGCTGCACGTCGCCTGACACACGCGATGGTGCGCCTGACATCTTGGGTCCCATCAGTCATTCGACCGGTCACAGACCGGTTGAGTGCACTGCACACCGCATTAAATGCGGTGTGGCGCGACCGCTCAGGACGCCATAAATGCGGGTAGGTGGGCACCTGGAGGCGGACACCTAACCCACTGTACGTGGTGACCTAGAGAGGGGGTCGGGGGAGCCCGAACCCTAGTCACGGGAGGGGGCGGTCGCCGCCCGAACTCGGGCCCGATCCCCCCTCTGGGGGGAGCCACGTGGCACCTGGGGCGGCCTTCTCCCTCTAGTCTCGGCCAGGGAGTGGCCGCCGCCCTACCTCGGGCCCGACCCCCCTCGGGGGAGGGCCACGTGGCATTGGAGGGCAGCCTCCTCCATCCAGTCTCTGGGAAGGAGTGGCCGCCACCCTACCTCGGGCCTGACTCCCCTCGGGGGAGGGCCACGTGGCATCGGGGGGGCAGCCTCCTCCGACTAGTCTTTGGGGAAGGAGTGGCCACGTGGAATCGGGGGGCAGCCTCCTCCGACTAGTCTTTGAGGAAGGAGTGGCCGCCACCCCACCTTGGGCCTGACTCCCCTCGGGGGAGGGCCACGTGGTATCGGGGGGCGGCCTCCTCCCTCTAAACCTGATACCCCCGGGCCCATATCATCGACAGGTAACATGCAACAATTAGCTAAATGTATATTTTTGTTGCTATGATTTGTAGGACAAATCACAATGAGTTGAAATTAGTTGTTAGAGTTGGGTCGTTTTTCAGCTTGCTAGATGAAGGGTCAAAGACCTATATGGAGGGTAAAACATCGCCAACCCAACTTGTTGACATGCATAACTATGGCTTGCTAGAATTAGTAAATTTCATAGCTGAACACTTCATATGGGGTTCTAAGCAATACATGACTTTGTGGTGTTCTATGGATGGTGACTCTGTTGAGATTACATTAGATGAACAATTGCTAGATTGGTTTCAGCTGAACCTAGAGAAGGGGGTTGTATGCATTGATGCCCAAATAATTGATTTTGATGGTCCATTGCAATTTTCACCCACAAAACGTAGGTATCATCCTTCAGTGAGGAATAGGGCAGCCATAAGTGAGATAGCTACTAATGAGAGAGCCACTATTGAGATAGCCACAAATGAGATAGCCACAAATGAGAGAGCCACAAATGTGATAGCCACTAATGAGAGAGCCACAAATGTGACAGCCACTAATGAGAGAGCCAAGAAATCCAAAAAAAGGGGTCCATGTGATGAGGAGGCAGTCGGAGTTGTTGATGAGGGCATATACTCTGACACCGAATCACTTGTGGCACAGAGTGATAGCAGCTATGACTCTGACTTGGCGGAATCATTTGATTCTGAATTTG